CCATCAGCAACAGCCTTTTGTGGGAGAGAACAAATCAGCTTCCAGCTGAAGAAGAATTTAGGAAAAGACGATGGAAATGGATAGGACATACATTACGCAAATCGTCAAACCACATCACGAGACAAGCCCTTACTTGGAATCCTGAAGGGAAGCGAAAAAGAGGAAGGCCAAATAACACATTGCGTCGGATGATAGGAACAGATATGAAAACGATGAATTACAACTGGAAGGAGCTAGAAAGGATTGCCCAGGACAGGGTTGGATGGAGAATGCTGGTGAGCGGCCTATGCTCCTTCACGAGGAGTAACAGGCGTAAGTAAGTATGTAAGATCCTGCTCTTGTTCGTGTCTCAACTTCTCGAAGTTTACTGTAGGCTGCTGTAACACGTTCATTTCTAGTCTGGATAAAGCATCTGCTGCCTGATTGTCCTGACCTTTGACATGTCGGACTTATCAAGGTGAGTATTTATCGGCTCTCGCTTTTATTGCATTCGTTAGTGGTTTTTGATCCGCAAAGACTATAAGTTCCCTGCCTTCTAACATGTGTCGGAAGTGTTTAATGGTCAGGTAGATTGCAAGGAGTTCTCGCCCGAGGGTAGAATACATTGTTTCTGCTGTAGCGGGTCTTTTCGATAAGAAAGCAGTTGGTTTCCAGGCGTTTTTAATCAGTTGGTTAAAAGTACCGCCTACTGCTTTATCTGAGGCATCCACCATCAAGGCAAGTAGGGAATGAAAATTCGCATAGATCAACGTAGTTGCTTGAGCCAATTTATCTTTAAGCTGTTTAATAGCTTCGACGGCGTCAGAAGATAGTTTGAAATCTTTTGTTTTTCCTTTAAGTGAATCTGTCAAAGGTTGCATTAAATGTGCACAACCGGGTATGAATCTGCGATAAAAGTTAATTAGACCTAGAATACTTCTCAGTTGTGTTAAAGAACTAGGTATGGGATATTGTTTGATGGTGTCCACTTCTTTGATCGGTGTAATCCCTTCTGGGCTTATTGTGTGACCGAGAAATTCTAGAGTTCGTACACCGAAAACACACTTGCTTAGGTGTATGTTTATTTCATTTTCAACCAGTCTTTTTAACACTGCTCGTACATGCTGTTCGTGTGATTGTAAATCGGGGCTGGCAATTAAGAAATCGTCTATATACCCTTGTGCAAATGGCATATCGGCTCTGGCGATTTTGAGCTCATCTGGTGCTAGTCTTCTGGGTTCTGCAAACACAGGTGCACCTTCGGTTTTGATAGTATGACTTACTTTTAGTTTGTCTTTGGAAGGCTGTGGGTTTGGTCTAGTTAAGTTTGAAAATTCCGTGAGTATATCTTGGAATTTCGCTGTTGTTACTGGAGGAGTTTGAATCAGGTTAAGAGATGTGATGTGACTTTCTTTGTATTTTGTATAATTTGGAGTTTATTTCAGTGTTAGGCGTCGTTTCTTGGTGTGAACTAGGAATTCGTATCTCTATAGAAATTCCATCCCCAGTATTGCCAGATCTAGACTGGCTATAGTGAAAACTCAAGGAAATTGCCTCATGAACCCCAAATCTAGTGTTAAATTTTTCTGCCCAAATGCCGCGATTTTAGTTTCATTGGCAGATTGAAGTGTAATTGGGGATGTTTCTCGACTCAGCTCAGTTTTATTATTAGGGATGATAGTAAGAGCAGCGCCAGTATCTACCGAGAAATTCAAGCCAGAGTTACGTGCCTTTAGGTAACCCCCGTTCTATTGATAGAAGAAACCAGACAAGTAGTGAATAGGTCTTTATTTAGATCTTCGCGGTCACAGTGGAGCGTGGGACAAACAAAGCATTTCAACATTTAATATAAGATAATAGGAAATATAACGCTTATACAAAACAAGGAAGTGAATGATTAATTGAACTATACTGTTATGACATATGCTTAGGAACTCCTAGACCAATTCAACAGTGTTCACCCAGCGATCACTTTCACTGGTGAAAGCGAGCATGATAAGAAGCTGAGCTTCCTTGACGTCACACTAAGCAGACGAAGTGACGGCGTGTATAGAAGAAACCCCTCTTCATGCCAATATACTCACTTCTGCAGTTTCACACCCATCCGGTACAAGAGAAATTCGGTCAGATGTCTCACGAGCAGAGCAAAAAAGATCTGTACAGTAGACACTCTAAGTCAGGAACTTGAATTTATCAACAACTCACTGACCGAGATCGGCTACCCCAGCGCGTTCATTAAGAAGTACATGCAGGATATAATGAAGAAGTCGGAGATTTCGACTGTTCGTAAGAAACCTTTATACATGAAAGTGCAATTCAACGGGGATGTGGCTAGTGACACTCTGAAATATAGGTTAACCAAAGTAATCACCAGGACAGTCTACGCAGCCAATCTTGCGTTGACCTTCTCTTGTCGACCAGCGATGTCTACTCAAACGAAGGATAAGTTACCTGAGTTGGCCTCTTCCATGTGCATTTACAAATTCAGCTGCTCCTGTGGAGATAGCTATATCGGGCGTACTACCAGGCAACTTAACCAACGAATGAGTGAACATCTACCAACTTGGTACATAAAGGGCCAGAGAAAAACTATTCGCAGTTCTATATTGGCACAGCTTATTGATAGCGGTCATGCAGTAGATAAATCGAAATCATTTCGAGTTATCTATCGTATACCTCCATCATTTCCCGACGGAGTCCGTTCCCGTCTCCTATATATAGCTGAAGCCATTGAAATTCGTAAATATAACCCCAATTTATGTATACGGAAGAAATACGTGACTCCCCTATCCCTTCCATGGCCAGTTATAACTTAACTAACAATTTTTTTTATTTATTTTCATTATTATTATTTTTATTTTAAATTTTATTATTATCATTATTTATTTATTTTATTCTATCTGTGTTATCGTTAACCTTATTTCCACATCCATAATTTGTTTGTAATTTTCCGCCTCTTTGTATTCTTCACTATCTAATTATTTACACACATCTTATTACGTAATGATTTTAATGTTTTGTGATTACTATTCCTAGTCTATTTACCCATGTTTGTTTGACCTTCTATTTCCAACGATTAACTATTGATAAGAGTCTTGTTATTGTATTTTATTATTCTCACTATTATCAGTTCACCTGTCTTCCTACTACTATCAACTTGTACTTTTACCTATTATGTGTAGTGACTTATTCTATTTCATAGTGATTATTGACCCATATTGCCTTGATTGGTTTAAAATTTTCGTATAAAATTCATGTATATTAGAGTAAAGCCTGATGACGATCTAATTGAAAACAATTGTTCGCTTATATGTGTTGTTCTAATATGCTTAGTTGTTTGCGGTGAACTCTTAACCAACCAGCCTAAGCTGTTACACACCTCCCAAGCCGTTTCAATGTGGGGATTCTAGATCTACTGTCCAATCTACTGAGGACACTGAGTGTATATTTGCTTTCCAGATGTTTGGTCTGGCTTGGGCCGACACATCATCGTTGGCACCGATATGAAAATGAAAACTGGAACTGTATGGTCACTCTTACGAATGGGCGGAATACAGTGGTGGTTTGTGATGCTGTCCTCATATGAGATCTAATAAGGTTGATTCGGAGTTCAGGTCAAACCCGGTTGCTTCTTTCACACGTTGCACTATGTTACATGTGGTAATCGCGTCAACTAGTTCCTGCCTGGAAGAATCTCCCGACGACCCAATCCTCAAGTTTTTTATTCTGCCGTAGGTTTATTAAAGTATCCTAAGATCAAACATCGACCTCTTGAAGACCAAGTATTGAGACCGTTTAGCAAGGTCTCATTCACTTCACAGTTTAAAGTACAGTGTACCAAACCCATTAGCAGCTCTTGTTATGTATATTTCAAGCGTCAAATAACCAGTTAGCACGTTTTTACCACAGAATATATTATCGATAACGATAAGGAGGATAGTGAGTAAAGCTACCACTTCTCCTTTAAACTTTTGGATTTTTTCGACTCTTACTACTGTCAGACTTTTAACACCATGTTCCGTACTGTCGACAAACTGAATCCCCACGTTTTTGTGACGGCAATCATATCTGACTTGATAGTCTATCTGTTCACCAATCGTATGTACAGCAAGCTACGGACATTTTGCAATCGTTTAAGCGGTTTTATGCTGCATCAAAAGTAGCTTCAACATCATTCTCTGTCGAAGCCTCAACAACTGAAAACTTACAATTCTAAGGTCCTTCTTCACAGCATATAACCTTGGTTTTAAATTATTTTCAGCTTCTCGTCTTTTTATACAGTTCACGAGTGGCAGATGTTTTGTGATAAGGCTTCTGACGCCTTCTGTTTAAGTTTATTCTGTAGTATTACTTCAATTACATATGGAGACTTAAATCCCACTTTTAGCGGCTTAACTTGATTTTGTTTCAGGTCTGTTTGTTAATCTAGTCTGTAAATACTAGTCATGGTGGCCACAGAGATATCTTGAGCCATTAGCTGGTTAATTAGCTCTTTTATTAAACCAAGACCATGCTCAAAATGAGTTCTGTGTTTCGAGCTTTCACCCTACTTAACTCTTTGAATACTACTGACCTGTAGCTACAATTAGCCTTCGGTTTCTTATCTTCTATTTAGGAAACTGGCTTTTCTTTGACGACATTGGGTCGTCTCTTATTCTCGATCTGTACCCTTTCATCAACTTTCAGCGAAGTAGCAATCCTGATCGCGCTACACGTATAGTGAGATCCTAAATGATTCTTTACGACTTGGGTGGTCAGGTTGTTTTTTGATATTAGCAACAAATCAAGTCTTGTGGTTAGGCTTGACAGGCGTTTCCTGCTTGCTGCCATTTGGAGGGCGAGGGACACAAGAAACTTTATTTCTTGGTGCCGGAATGGGACAAAAATAAATGACACATGTGGAATGAACAACAATGGCAATAACGATCAACACTAAGGATTAACTTAGCAAAGATTCAACTGTTTGAACACTACATATGTACTGTAAACCGTCCAAGGTCGTTGGATCAAAACGGCAGGCGGCTTTGGAAGGATTTGAAGTACAGTGTCTATAAATGTCACTATTTTATTCAAAAATTGGTGCTTGTTTACATAGATCTCCAATTGTTTAGGTACTTATGTCTAGCGCGTGATCATGCTTCATCCTTAATCCCCTTTTACATTTGTAAAAAAGTTAGTTCATTTCGATATGAACACTGAACTAGTCGGTAAGACTAGAATTTATGGACGAACCTACCACGTAAAAGATAACAGGTCTCAGGTTCCGGCGCAAAATTCATCCATCCATTTGGCACAATACCGTTTTAGCATCACAGCTGATGTCAATTCGTGATGAAAACCCTAAATATAATTCATAACCTTAACCATCAACTGTAAGTCATGATTCTAATTCCTCACACAGGTTCATGATCTTCATTTGGTCCTAGTTATTAGGTGGAGCTCCTCAGGGTCACTTTGGTGTCGCTCAAAGTTCGTCCATAAATTATAGTCTCACTAGCTGGTCAACGAAAACAGTATATTAAAAATCAGATGCGGAACTCCGGGGTCTTGTAATATCTGACCCCACCTTCTTTACTCTTGGCACCCCGCTTGGTCTTTTTGCTTACTGGGCAGTAGTGAGTGCGAAGTTACCTCTTGGCACTAAAATCGTGCTTCATCCTATTTACTAATTGCTATAATGATGGGCTATTTGGAGTAGTTCTGTTAATAACATTAAATGATTTGCATAAAGTCATTAAGATGGTGGTTGGAGGTAGTCAAAAGGAAACCCTGGACCTAGGTTTTCATGCTACTTGGCACTCTTCAAATGGTTGTGGATGGAATAGAAGAAGCTTTCGCTTAACGGACTTCCGTGTCCAATAGCAGTGGGTCACTAATACCTCCAGGCAGGAACCTAGGTATATTAACGATAATAGAGGAAAAGAAAGAAATTGGTAAATCGTAATAAGATGTCATCATTAGTCCTTAAGAATAGGTCAAGTTTCCTCTTGACGGACTCCTGGGAAGTCGCTTAGACAAGTTCAGTCGGTAGCGAATTCCAGTATTCGACAACTCTTAAGGAGTAGAAGTTGTATCTACAGTCCGTTCTGCTATGTTGTATCTCCAATTTCTGGGTGTTACCCCTTAGGTTTGTATTGGGACTAAGCTTAAGTATGTGTTTAAGGGGATGTCCAGAAGTGTTAAGGATAGTGTAAGTCATCAGAGGGTCACCTCTAAGACGCCTATACTCTAGTGGGTAAATGTTAAGTGATTGGAGGCGCTCTCCATAAGGTTTGAATTTGAGTCCCCGAACTGATTTCGTGGCTCGCCGTTGGATACGCCCTAGAGTGTCCTTATCCTTTTTTTTGGGGGGGGGGAACACAATGTTTCCGTACTCTAAATGGGGACGAATAAAACTGAAGATTATGTGGAAAGTTCTACCGTCAAACTGACCAAAAAATGCGCTTCAATTATACCATTGCAAGGTTTGCTCGAAAGGCATTTCTGTCACAGTTAGCGTAGGACTTCAAATCGTAGGGTACCAACACTCCTGAATCTTTTTCGACTCGGGATACTAATAGAGAGGAGTTTCTTAGGTTGTAACTGTAATCTGCAACATGTCGCAGATGGACTACTTTACACTTTGAAGTGTTGAAGGTAAGTCCGTTGCCATGTGCCCAACTTTGAATTCGAGTAAAATCCTCCTGAAGTGCCTGTGTATTTTCTTGGTTGTGTATCTTTCTCCAAAGTTTCACGTCATCAGCAAAATGTAGTAAGTCTGAAGGCACCTGTTGTGGGAGATCATTTATATAAATCAAGAAGAGAAGGGGTCTCAGTACTGAGCCCTGGGGGAGCCCACTAGGACATTCTATAGCCTGAGATAAAGTGAAGTTAACCCTGATCTTAAAATGTCGATTTTTCAGATATGAAATGAGCCAGTCAATTAGAGGTTATTTGATGCCTAATCGTTTGAGCTTATTGATAAGACACATATGGTTGATCCTATGAAAAGCTTTTGAGAAGTCAAGGTAAGTGACATCAGCCTTCCCCTTGCGGTTAAGGACTGTCGTCCATCTGTCCACTACAGTCAGCAGGTTGGTTATACAGGAGCAACCCTTTCTGAAACCATGCTGTCGGGGTGAGATGAAATTTATGGACAGTAAATAGTCATGTATACCATCGCATATCAGGGATTCCATGATTTTTGAAGGTATAGAGAGAAGTAACCGGTCGGTAACTTGAAGGTTCGCAGCGTCGACTTACTTCGAAAAGTGGTGTGATGTGAGCCAGCTTCCAATTTTCCGGTAGTTTTCCTCGGCTTAGCGAGTGTGAGGACATCACGCTAAGCGGTGTTGCCAGGATTGAAGCTGCTTCCCTCAGTATAACAGAATGAACCATATATGGGTCGGGAATTGTCTTTTCTTGAGTGCTGGAGTTTCCTGGAACACGAAGTCAGCGCTCAGGTTCACTTCGGAAAGTCATGTGCATTTGCAAATGAAGCTGTCATCAGTATAGTTGATGTGGGTCGGTTGAAATGTCCGAGAGTATTGTTCAACCAAAGGGTTAGGGGCGTCGCCTCTGTTATTGGTCGGGCCATTAGGACCTAGCAGTTTGGAAACTTCAGTTTTGGCTTGACGAAGAGAGGCTGCATAACGGAATAAGCTTTTCGAATTGGAGACAAAATTATCCATAAGCTTTATCTGGTACTGAAGCCTGTTTTCTCTCACAGCCTTCGTGCATATGTTCCTTATGTTTGCATTGCCTGTACGCGTCAGTAAGGTGTACCTGCAGGTACCTCAATATTACATATAATATTGAGGTAACTAATACTCCCTGACGTATTCGATCCCATTACATTAAATTTTCAGTCAACAACAACGTAAAACATCGTACGTACCTACATCAGTTCAAGTTGCCATACCACATTAGCACAGAGATACAATTGTCAATTCAAATCCCGTAGTGGTAGGGGTAGTAAAAGTATAAGCAGTAATCGGAAAGATTAGGGTTTGAAGATGTTATGCAATGAGTATAATCCAGTGAAATAAATTTGGAAAGAAAATATAGGACATGAAGAATTTAGAAGATTAGAATTTGGGAGAACACAAAGAGTGGATGCACCTGCGCCATCGCCAACGATTTTGAGCCATGTCATTCAAGGTCTCTAACCATCGGTTGCTATCGTCTCGCGGATTCCAACCAGGTAGTCTACACCTACCATCATGGTTCAGTCCACCTGTCAGTGACTTCATGAATTTGTGCCATGTTTTGGTCTGGCCACCCCTAGCTTTCTTCCAACCTACTCCTACATCATGAAACATCGCACATTTGGGCAGTCGGTGGTTGGGTATACGTAACACGTTTTCTAGCCGTCTCAACTGATGAAGTTTCACTACATTTTTATTGTTTGGAATTCATTTAAATACTCCATTTTCTCATTAATTGACAGGATTTTGTATAATAGTTAATGTCTTCACCTGTGTTATGTTATGCTCCCTTCTCTGTATACACTGTCTACAATTTAAAGGACTGTAAATCAAATCATGAGAGGAAAGTTAAGGAAGCGCAGCTCAAAGGTCATTATTGAGAAACAGAAACCAAAAGTTTCCAAGATAGTTTCTGAAGAAGAAAGTCCAATATCTGATTATCCAATTTCCGATGAAATCCAAAGGCGTATTTCTATGATTGGTCAAGGATTTCATCTCAAGTGCTCTCCAGACTTTCCATTGTTTTACGAGTTTTGTGAAACTCTTCGTGCCAACGCCCCACTTGGTTTGAATGCAAATTAATCTTATTGAACTTTGTTTTAGAAGCACTATTAGATGTCGGATTTCGTCTGGTTGGTCCATTTGAAATACTTCATTTAGGATCAAAGGAGCCAGTCAAAAGTGGCCAATGGTCAAATTATTACCGTTTTTATCACGATCCTCCGGAGTTTGTGACAGTGATTATATGCACTACTGAACAATACCATATAGGCTACTTCCGGTAATCGACAACTTTCTAATGATGTTTCTAGGGATTCATGCGAATCTAAACCATTTATTGCCAAATCAACGCATATGTCCAATGGAGTCCTAGAGTATTGTGGTCAGAATTTGTTTGCTTGTCTAAGGTTCGGGACTTAGATTATCGTCAATCTTCCTAGGTCTATCCTTCAAGAAAAATGTGCTGAATCTACTGACTTGTTAAAAAGTCTTATTGAATTTGCATCTTTTAAGAATATTCCAACAGGTTTATCATCATTTTGTAAGCTATCTACAATTTATATGATATGGCTAAAGATATGAAGGATCGAAAGAAACGTCAAGTGTGTGCCACAACAAACCATATAGGTTTAATGATCGATGTGACTAAGAATGACATTGGATACCGTCCTTTAAATATTTCTTACGGTAAGCTAAAACCACTTTCCCCTATGTAACTTGGTATTACTTGGATTCTAAAACTTAGCGAGTTTTACAGTTTCATTGTGTTTGAGAAGTTGCGTTTCTGACGGTTGTGGTATAGTGATAGTGTGAATCATATCATTTCAAAGCGGCTCAATTCAATTGAACACCGTCCACGAACAGAGTTTATTGTTATCTTGTTCAGTAGAAAACAGTGTTTAATTATATTAGGCAAAAAATATTTCAAGTGTTTATGTGATGTCTTCAGTTTTTTTCTTCATTTTAACTGAATATAGCCACAAAATACAGCTACTTATGATAGGTCTCGAAATCAGTTTATATATCCTTGCTACCATCTTCAATAGTAATTGTATATGCTTTCTCGTTTATTCGTCTGTATTTTGTTTATCATGTTGAATATATAGTAAAAAGTGATTTTCATGGTCTTATTTAGTTGTATACCGTTACATAAGTAATTAAATTTTGGGATTTGAACACTATTTTGTTTTCTTACCATTCCTGCTTTATACTTAATGTAGAAGGGATTAACATACGGTTGTTTTGTGTCGTTTAGACTTTGGATATAATTTCGTAACTATTGGATTAGTGGTATTATGTACTATCCCGATGCTATTTTCTTTTGACAGCTGAACTAAACAAAAGACTGGAAGATATTGTCAGTGAGAAGTCAAAAGAACGGCAGTTAATTAAATTTGCTCCAATCGATGAGTTGATTACCTGTGTTCAGTTTGCCAACGATGAAGGAGATTTTGGTCAAGGTTTAGAATTGGGCTTATCAATATTAGCATTTCATCCTAAAGGTAATAAGAAGTATTATGAAAAAAACTGTTAAGTCGATTGTTTAAGCGATTGTGTGGAATAAAGCAACGCTGTCAACATAACTGTAGTCGATTCACGAGTCAAGGGGGGGGGGTAAAATTAAACTATTTATTATTAGTTTGAATCTCCGTGAATCTTGCTAACGATAGTTCATCAAATGTTCGTTTCTCCTTCAAACAAGATTTGGTTGGGACATGAGTCCAGTGAGTTGTGGTAACACTATTAAAATAACTGCAAGTTTTTTCTAAATGTTATTAAATGAGATACAGTTCATCATATACACAAAGTCTACGTAAAGTGAATACTAGTATGACGTCATAATCCTAGACTTAAAAGAATACATATCAGTACATGGAGTGAAAAAAACTGATTGTGTTAGTCATATAGTCATCTGGAATGTTGATCACCATCTCCATATTTATGAACTCTTATCTTCAGGAGGTTCCATCAGATTTTCACCAAACAATAATGTTATATTCTTACTAATTGTAGTACGTTTTTCACACTAATAATTTTATTTTATTTTAGCTCAACCGCTAGAGACAGCAAACATATTTAACAATAAAATTAAACATTTATTGTCTGTCGGTTATACTTTAGCCAATAGAAAGGAATTCAGTCAAGTAATTCAGTCTCATATGGATGACAGACGTATTGAACCACTAACTTTCACATAAATTACCTTTGCTGTATTTATCTATTTGGATCGCACATAGGTGTCATCTTACACTTGCATTTATTTTTATATTAATTGTGAAAATTTCAGAGTCTGTTGGTTTTATTATTGTAAACATTTTAAATTAAGACTTTTAACACATTGTTTTTTACTTACTGTTGTTTGTTATTCCATGGGATTAGGTGTTTTTAAATGATGACTTGAAGTCATTTACTGAATATTGTGTAATATATTTGGGATCCAGTTGGCTTCTTTTGTTTTCCTAATCGTCACCAACTTTTGATAATTTTGAACAACTTAACGCTTAAATAAGTTTATGAACCGCTTGTGATTGATAAGTAATATCTTTAATTTGTGAGGAGTAACTTGCAGTGGATTTAGAGGTATTCTTGCTGGCGAATTAGCTTCCCCTAAGTACAAGACGGAACTTTTAAACTTTTCTTGTACATGACTAATTCAAAGATCGGACTTCTAACATTATATACTATTGTGTTATAAAGTCATTGCAATACGGTAACCGAGTACATGCCCCTCTTCCTGTTACTGCGCTGTACTTATTATGCAAGAGTTAATAATCGTACTGAAATAGAACTTGGATTCACAAACAATGTTTGAAAGTAGGTATCAGTGCCAAGGTTGGACTTGATAGTTTCAAATAAATTGAGCGTTGACTAGAATGTTAATAATAAATTAATTTTTGTGATATTCCAATTAATAGAAAATCGTGTTTTTGACGTTTCGCGGCTTAATGCAAACCACTTCTGAGTACAATGATATTGCTTAAACTTGTTAGTTTTATTTCGGTTGTGTATTTACTCTGAGGCTTACATTAAGTCACGAAAAGTCAGAAATGCAATTTTCTGCTCATCGATATATTACAAAAAATATATACTTATTATTAACGTTTGAAAGTGTAGTCCATACAAAATGGGACTACATCTCTAATCGTTATTTGCTATGAACATAGGTATTCATCTCAATAAAGTAGTAGGGGTTTTTTCTAGTATTGTTGATGTGTCGTGGATGTAAGCAGAAAGGCACTTGCGAGACTAAAAGGAACATCAGTAACCCGTTAATAGTTTTTCTTAGTGCTCACTTTGATGTTCCACTGTATCCTCTAATATGATTCCCTGTATGGTATTGACTTTTTTAATTGGTCAAGTAATTCACAAACTTTACTGTAATCTCTTATTTGTCTGTTCAAAGCACATTATGTTATTACCATTTTGTTCTCATAAAAAAGACACCATAGTGGATTCCATTTTTTTCTCCTACTTGTTCATTTGGGTGTCAAAATTTATAATTACTGTATAGTTATAGTGTTCTCAACCTAACAACCCTTTCATAATGTTACAAAATAGTATAATTTGGGGTTAAAGTAATTGGTTTAATGGTTGTATTTAAAAAGTGGGTCATATTAGTACCACTAGAAAGAATCGTCTTCACCAAGAATCAATTCATGTTAAAGTAATTCAAACGAAATAACCCATGTCTACCAAGATCATTCAAATGCGCAACATGTTTTTACCGAAAACAAGTTACACAGAAAAAATGGGAAGGTACAACTCGAGGCACATCAAATTCAGCAAGTTGGGGAGTGTATCCCGGAAAAATAAGAACCGGCCAGTTATTTAAAACTAATTATTTATAGCAAACGCTTTCAACTAGATGATTTCCTGAACACCATTGAAAGCAAGCTTTTAAACTGAGAAGTGCACTGTATATAGTTAGTTTTTTTATAAACTAAATGTCTTATGATGCAAGACAACAGTAAAGGAAGTGTTTGTGTGTTTACGTTCAAAGGATCTACACTTAGATGTTAAAATCATTTTAAACATCTAACTTTGTAGGGGTCAAGCTTTTGAGGGGCAACGAAATCATTCTATGTGGAATAATTAACTTCTTAAGATGTATGTAAGCTGGGCTATTTAGCATGTAAAGAAGTGTCTCAGTGGTACGATAGGCATCAAAGTAGGATTGAAGTAATAGATGATTCTATTTTATTGATCATTTGGACTTACGTCGTTTTGTGTTCTACAGCGTATTTATAAAAACTGGATTGTTTACTTTTGAAGACTTCCTATTCAGAACTTTGTTTAAAGAGCAAAATAATGTTCGTGCGATTTCCGTAATATGTATTATTTCGTGGCTTCAATTTGACTGAGTAGCGCGTTTATCAGTTTAATGGATTTCTACATCTTTTTCAAAAAACAAGAAAACTATCCAGATGCATTTAAAAGCAACCAGGAAAGTAACAAGCTTGTAATGAACAGAACTAAGAAAGCCGTCATAGGAGTCGGGATCCTCTCACATACTATTAGTAATAAACCACTTGGAACAGTGAGAGTACAGTCAATAAATTTGATAGTAAAACCAGAGGCTATTAAAAAAACCCAGACTGCTTAAATAAGCACACACATCCTTACATATTTAGTGTATTCAAATCGATGTACTATCCGGACACCGATTTACTCCATAGGATAAAGTATCTATGCACCAAGTAGATATTTAGCAAATACTCGATTTAGAACAAAAGTTCGGGCCAACTATCAGTCACGTAGTTTTTTGTGCTCAGTTTGGATGAAATAAAGATTTATTTACTGTTCACATATCTTTTCTTGAAAATCACGAATCCCAAGTCGTAAGGAAGATTCTTGTAGGTAATAAGTGTACGTGAGATAAGAATAATTATATGGGAACTCCCTGTTTAGTATAGTCCGGTTCCACAGTCATTGTACGGTTTACAAATCCTCTGTTTTATTATGTATATGCATTTATTGTCACTACATACATTTAGAGTGGATATTATACCGTGTTTATTTTTTAGTTCGTATTAATTTGCATATCATCTAAGAACTGAGAAGCATCAATGTTCATACTAGAATAAAGCGTTTACTTTAATCATTAAATTGAACTAAAGGAATGTGTTCGTCCAACATATATTAGTATCGTTCTTAATAACTGAATCTATCCAATCTTTGTTAATCGATTATAGCGGTTTAACTGATTCTGTTTAAGGCAGTTCAATTAAGTTAGGTTTTTCCTGATCTTCATGCAGTAAACTACAAAAAGGTACTTCATTTAGTGATCAAAAGTAAAAAAATGAATGTACTTAACAAAGTTGTGAAACAAATGTATGTGGATGATAATTGGTGTTTGAAATATTAATGTTGGACTTTTTCAAAGGGATCTGAGTGAAATGCAGGAGAATGGTCAGTGGATATATAGGGAGCTTATATTGTTAACACTTTCTATGTTCCCAATTTTACATAAGGAGATATCGTATTTTTTAAAGGTAGATAAGTGATATTTCCTGAGATTTGAACTATTTCTACAGGACGTTATATCAGTTATAAAAGTCTGATACATAATTCTAGAATTATTCATGTTAAATTAGAATTCAGTGTGCATGGACGCCGTAGTTGGTATTAAGATAGATTAATTCCATGTAATTATTTTACCTACTTGTAAGTAGCTCAAAAACTACATTTATTCTTTATAGCATAAATGCAGAAAAAGATAATTAGCCATTATGAATGTGTGCACACGTGGACTTAAAGCAATTGATTGGTCTAAGCTAACTACTCAAATAGTTTTTGTTATCTTGATTTTATTTTCATGTAGGCGTGGAGGGAATTAAACCACAGAATTTTTGTGTGACTTATAGGAATATGTAACATAATTGATATGGAGTAAGCAATTTTTGTTACCAAGTATTGATGAATGAATAATGAAAGAAAAACATTTATAGGAGTATTGAGAAATATAGCTCATTAGTGTGATCGGTAAAGCCCCATTCAATGAGATGATAAGTTCCTAGTAGTTAAATAACGTTGACCAAAAATAATTTGATGATATTAGTATCCTAGTTTTCTGAAAAAATATTTTGTGAACGTGATATTAATTTGTAGCGGGGCGTCGAGTCGCGGTTGACTATGATCACCACTACAGGAAGACTAAGTGCCAGTTTACCGATAAGACCCCCCGTACCAAATATCAGAAGGCAGTTAGTGACTATGGTCGAGATGTATTTGCTGGCGATCTCGTGGTATCGAAGGGATACCGAGATCGTGCCATGTTACAAATGTGGTTACTGAGAGTGACCGAATTCGTGCAAGGTCACAATCGACGGAAGAAAGAATGTCTTTAATACAGATAAACAAGCAAGTACAGTAAACCAATCACTGGTACAATTGGTTATAATAATAATTGTTTTTATTAAACCAATCGCGTTCTCTTGATAAAAGTAGGTCACTACAAATTACTACATAGCCCTCTATTATATTGTAAGTTTTGAAATATAATAGCAGACGACAAAGCATACTCAATAAAAGATAGAAATATTGTTTTAGTTTCCATGGGACAGTTAAATATTCATGGGAAACAGGTGTAAATAATAATGCACTTTGAAAGTAATATGTAATCTGTTTTAGTAGAATATTTTTACAGCCACCTGCTTCACCTCCCATCTTCCCTTCAAATCTTGTACCCCCAACCGGTTTGTTTTTATTTCAACGATCATTCCGATTACATTTCATCTCTGTTTCAACATTTTATGTTATTTTATCATGCTGAGCTACTCTTACCCGATGACTATCTAAGCCATTATCTATTAAACTTTCCTTGTTTTTAAAAATTTTTTTCTAATACCTTTGTTTATTTAACCTCACTGTCACCATGTATAACAGAAGTTTATTATCAGTATTATTATCACCCTGTATAAATAAGTATATATATTTGCGATTGTACAGCTTTGAAAATGAATTCGCCGAAAAGAGAACTCTTCGCTGAACTAATCTTTCTTTCTTATTTCATGAAGGTTTAAGAATTTCTGTTTAGAAATAAGCATTATTACATATCTAAATAAAATACAGCAGTTTTCAATCATCTATAAAGTTGAGGGTTTATACTACATAAAATAAATATTATGGGCGATCTGCATTTTATTTTTCTTAGTTTACATGCTTAGTCATTTTTTGTAAGTAATCAAATTCAATTTAAAAGTGTTTGTAATCCCATGCGTATATTTTGAGAAATGTCTTAGGTTATAGTTATCTTTAACTATATTGTCTTTTTAGAAAGAACATTGAAATAGAAAGAAGCGCACATAATCTTATTCGAGAGCAATCCAATCAAACATTTCTATTATTGGATTTTATGTAGAATCTCAGGAACTATGTTTTTCATTTGATCATGTTATTCACTGTTGATGGAACTAGTTATCTTGGAGGTTCTAATCTACATTATT